TGTGTGTGTGTGTGTGTATGTAAGCATGTGTCCACATGTCTGCGTGAAAGGGTGTTTTCAAATACTGAACACACATGTTGACTTGTGAATTACATTTTCCAGAACAGTGTTAATCCTCAATCCCTAGATACAACAAAATACAAACCCCAAAAGATCTGCTGAGATGTAGTGGTGGAAAAAATGAGAGATACTGTTGATGATGACTCACTCAAGTAATAGGAATTTACATTTAGGGGAATATTATAGTATAGTTAGGATTTAACATTCTCATGTAAATATTACTGGAAGATTTACCATGAAGGAACCACTTTGTGTCAGTCTCTTTTTCTAACTCTTGGCAAGAAAGCAAATAAGCATATTTTCAGTGTCAAACTATTTCTTTAAGGCCAAAAAAATAAGTTAAACACATTTTTAGCATTAGCATGTTAACATTATGTTAGAGAATAAAATTTATATGGCTGTGGGTCTGGAGGTGGAGTGGGTTGTCGACTAACTAAAGAGTTTGACATTCGATTCCCAGTTCCTCCAGTCTGAATTATGGCAAGAAAACTGAAATCCAAATATCCCTCTGACATCTGCGCCGGCAGTTTTTCACTGTCAAGTGTGAGTTGCAGACAATTGGTGGATATAGAAGCGCTGTATGAATGTGTGTGTTAGTGGGATGTGCAATGTGAAATGCCTTTAAGCAGCTAAGACAAAAAGATCTTCAAATGTTTACCTTGTTAGACCTCTTAGTCCTTTGTTAACAAGTTTTCTGGACCGAAGTGTGTAACCTGACTGGGAAATCCACATATTCTTGTTTTATTGTCTTATTTGTTCCTTTGAGGCTTGTTTCTAAGAGTGTTCCAAGTTGGATTCACTAACCTCTATTGTAATAAATTCCTCTTATCAGAATGATGAATACCACCTGTTCATGAGGAGACGCATATTTGTGAGATTTGATCAATGCCCCTAAATTCACCATATAAGGCTGCCTCATCTGCATCTTTTATGGGAAAGGTTTGTTCATAGAAATCTAACACAAAAGTAAAAAGAGGGATTTCCCAGAGCGAAGCTTCAGGACCTGCTGCCAGTGAACAAAAACATAACATATTCAGCAGAAGCAGGAGTCGTATCATGGCACCCAAAACAATTAGAAAATGCTAATAGTGCATCTGTCAGTGATGTGTCATCAGAGACCTGCATGCAGACCCTGCAGGAGCTGTCAGAGACAGAGTGGATGATGCTATGATGGTGATGTGGTGAACAGAATATAAATCTTGCTTTGTTTGTTATGTATCTTTTTCAATTAATTCATGTTAATCCTCTTTATTTTTAACTTAAAAAAAAATTGAATCACATGTAAGTTTTGTTTGTACCCAACAGAAGATTGTGACTAGGATGACATGCTCAACTTACCAACAAATCTGTTATCGGTTATATCGTAATAATTCTTGCATGAGGCCATCTACAATAAGTTAACTACAGTAATTTTGTTTTTAAAATTCAGGATGTAAGAAGTAGTTTCTTTTCTGATTTTACATAACAGATTTAAAGAGATTTAAACAAAACTTGAACTGCAAACTCTGAAACATCTAACCTAAAGACGCCAAGTAAATAAAACTAGAGACTTCTCTGCTGTTGTGGGTGGCATTGTTGGTTGTATGTGGTCATTCCACATCTGTTTTAGTAATTTGTATTACATCTTTATCATTTTATCTTTCTCTGTTCACCTGTCGTTCGGGTTTCCTCATTTTAAATTCAGGAAATTTCCTCAGTTCCTGCAAATACTGTTTAGCTACATACATGAATAACAAATAAAGCCTGATTTATATAAATTATCTAGTATTGCTAAAGGTCTGACCATGTCCTGTGAGTGTGGGATAAAGGAAACATAAAAACAGTAGTCGCCACCTATTTTATACATTTGCCATAACTCCTTAATAGTGCATGTGAGAAACTCCTCTGATGATACCGTTTAAGAGGTGTTCACTTCAGTTTTAATCTGTACAACTGAGGCTTTGCAACTAGTTCCGTAATTACATGCTGCTCCATCATCTCTGCAGAGTAATTGCTGCTTTATTCCTGCCAGGAAGAGGTCGGTGCCATCTTTTTAGGTAGAAACGTGTGCCCACTACTGATTCCTGCATTCAATATTACAGGCCACAAGCTGGTTAAGGCCACTATTAAAAAAAAACAAAAACAAAAAACAAGAGTTCAGTTCCTGGCATGCAACCTAGCATCACTTTGCCAAAAATGTCTCCATCAAAAGCTATTATACGGGTCTGAGTGCCAAATAATCCGTCAGATACTTTCAGTATTTATGCTGCTGAGTCAAAGAAGCAAGTAGAGTAATAGTTGTAATGGCTGTAATATATTAAAGCCACGCATATGGGCACATACACAGTAGTGCATTATTGACTTTCATTGATCCTCTGCGCTTTCGTTCTTGTCCTTAGGCCGTAAATCCCTGTTTATCTTTTCATTATATCGCAGGAACGAAGAGGTCAACTCCCAGTCTCCTATTATTATACCTCCTCAACCTTGCCCTGAACAAAAAGAGCCTGATGGTGCGCACACACACACACACACATGCAGTTCCATAATTTACAATAGAGCACAAGGCCAAAGTCTGAGGAAGCTTTTATTACTTTCCAATAATCATAATGTCATGTTGATGGACCAGGTCAATATACTTGTGTGCTCTCTGTCTATTTGACTGTTGCTCCCTCTTTGTCGTCTTCTGTTTCCTTCATGTGTCTCTTCTACTCTGTTTGTCTCTGTCCCCTCCCCACTCTCTTTGACTGCCATCTTTTGTTTGATTTGTGTCTCTGTGTGTGTGTGTGTGTGTGTGTGTGTGTGTGTGTATGACGTGTGTTAGATAAATTGAAGCTTTTCAACTTCAGAAAAAACATCACGACTACCTGTGGTGCTTTGCTTCCTGCGGCTGAGGGAATATTTGTGCATGAGTCACACTTGGAAGTTTCAAATTTATGAATGGATATGTGCATATAAATAGACTTTCTATTTCACCCTTTAAATTGGCAGCTCCAAGGTCATCACCATGACAGCTTAGTAAATGCGTTGCCATGGTAACTCCTGTGGAAACTTGAATACTTGCTCATACAGCTCATAACTGATTGATAAATGTGACTTTTTCCCCCCAACGTAGTTCATTTGGCTACACATTGACTGGTTTTATTACTCACATGTGTCGGTTTTGAGCAGGCTGTTTGTGCTCCTGAAGTACTGAGGGTTCTCGATCACCGGGATCTTGGTCATGCCGATGATGACGGCATCAGGGCCCATCTCTGAGGAGGACGGAGTGTTGCTGCCGTTGGAGACGTGGTGAAGAGGAGAGGCCGAGTCATCATCGTTGCTGATCACTGATGATGGTCCTGAGAGAGCAGAGTGGTGGAGAGATCCGTTTGTTAATCTTTAAAATGATTGAGAAAGGTCGTGCATGTGCGATAGAAACAACATTTCAGTCATGTTATTAAAAATAAGGACACAAGAAAATGTATTAAGTTGTTATCAGCAGAGATTGACGAGATGAGATGATAAAGTGGGGAAGAAAGCAGTTATTGTTGATCACACGAGAGCTCTAAGAGAAGGAGTGGATCTCTTAAAACAGGCGACTACACTGGCTTGTTTTATGGAACAGTCACATTCCTGGTGGATTACTTTGTAACTGCATTTCACCTTTTAACCTGGCGACTGTCCTGATGTAAGATAGAGTTGTTGTAAAAATCCCTCCTTGGAATATCATAAACAGCTGTGGAGTTCTGAGAAGCAGACAAACAGTTTTGAGAATGAGCAGATGAAATGTGCACATGAGCGAGTGAGGCTGTGACTAGATCTGAATGTGATAGTGCCGTAAAGACCGGAGAGAAACTTGCTTTTTAGTTTTTTTAGTTTTTAGTGCTCATAAAATGTCCAACTGCCCAAATTGGACTTCTGGGATTATATGTCATTATCTCAAAGGCACCTGAAACAACTCTTAAAAAAGGGATGTATCCATTTATTCAGACATGCTGCTCCATGAGACCAAGCTTTCAAATGAAAACATCCTTCAAAACCTTCTCACTGAGTAGGAGAGGTACAACGTTTAGCTGACCACGTAAGACCCATCGCACCGGACAGTGACCTCATGCAAACACACACACACACAAACAAAGATTATGCAGCCACCCTTATCATAGCAATCAGTTTCATTTGCCATGTATGTGTGTGTGTGTGATCCAACCTAACATAAAATTAACAAACTACTATGTGCGAATAGAGTGAAACTTTACAAGACAGTAGTCCAACAGGACAACAAGCCAAAGAAGAGTGGAGATAAATATTTATACCACAGCTATGAAGGAATTGTGACCAGAGGACAATGGTGCTGAGCACAAATATGGGTTATTAATGTACAGGTTAATTATTGGTGGACTCTTGATTATGGACTCTTTTGTTTTTTACCTGTGCTTCCTTGTGTTTAGGTTTGTGTTCAGTTGTTTCTTTCTGAGTTCTGTGTTTCCTGTTTTATTTTGAAGTGCAGGAGATCCAGATTCCATGTTCTCAGTTGATAATATTTATATACTATGAAGACTTGTCTCTGGAAAAAACTATTTTTCTGTGTCATTCCAACACCAGATATGAAAATCCATGCTTCATATAAGAAACATGTCTGAGAGCAGAGCTGCAACAGCAACATGAAGCAAGATGGTGAAACCAGAAGAGAGGTGGGATGGCGTGAGTCAGACACCGAGCCAAACCCTTTTTACAGAAAAGTGTTTCGTTTTGGCAACAGAAGTGTTATTCTTTTCTAATTAGGACAGTGAAACGGTCCATGAGGCCAACTTAGCGTTCACAAGTTTGTCACTGACAGTAAACCTTCATCTCTGCTAATTCTCTGTGTCTTTAGGTTCAGTGCCAAGGCAAACAATACCAGCTTTCTTTCACACTCAGAATGTATCACTTTACAGCAGACACATTTGCAAGTGCATACAGGTTTCTCACATCTTTTGCATATGAAGTCACACACACGTGCACACAGACACACAGCAATAATCATGTTACTGCCTGATACTAACAGCCACCCTGAATGATTAATTCACATTTTTACATGTCTTTAACTACATCCACATGTATGTTGAAAGTTGTACTGGTCACTGTATTTGATTCTTCTGTGAAGTGATGGGGAAAAGTCCATGTTCTGTACAATCTGTAAAGTTTATCTAAAGATATCATGAGTTACAGACTCATCATCTGTGCATCCTCTAATGTTGCAGTCTTTGTTTAGCTTATTTCCTCTTTGGATTATTATTCCTCCACTGCTGCTCAACTTACAGTAGAAAGAAAAGAATAGCAGTTAGCTGTTTTTTTTACTAAAACTACATATTTAATCTGTCTTTCGTTTGCTTCAACTGGACATCCAGTTCGTTTTGCTGAGCACAACATATGCTGAAATAAGCAGGTAGCAAGTTTGAGGCCGGTATAGACAAGAGGAACAATAACATGGACAACAAATGCCTTCATGCACATATCGACTTGTAAGTATTGTTTTAAATGAGATGTATTATGCTCACATTCAGATTCAGGTGGAACTCCCTTTACTGCAGACGTTGGGCTTTTTAACTTCGCCGACCTTTTACATTTACAAAAACCTATATAACACACTAGAGGAAAGAGAAAAAAAACACATTATGTCTTTTGACATCGTCTTTGTGTATTCTTTGTCTCACTACAGTTTTAAATCTCTCCTTGATGTTGCTGAAACTTTAAATTCAATGACTCCCCCTGACTCTCAACCTACAGAGAATCAGAACTCCACATGGTTTAGAAGATGGAGTTTGCCAACAATCTAAAAGTTGACTGATTTCTTCTTAACACGTCTGATGGGATCCTATGTTTCAACTGGATGTGTGAGTAACAGATAATAGACGTTTTTATTGCAGTGGGAAAAGCAAAACTAAATGAAAAGTGTCGGAGGCATTCTGCATACCCTGCACACTCACTGTACACACCCCTATTACGCAATGCTAACTTTTTTCTATGTAATAATTCCATGTTGTAATGACAAATGTAATAAAATTTAATTTATACCATATGATGATCGATGATTGAGAAATAAGGTGTAGATTGTGAAAAACATTTCTACCGTATTATCAGAAATAAGTTTTCAATCTATTTAAACTGTAGGTCTATAGTCCTATATAGGATGGAGAGATACCTTGAAAATGCATGATGTCATTAATTTTTAACTTTTTCATTATTTCTCTTATCCTATGATGGGAAATCATTTAGTGGTCGATATAAGCTTTAGATTGTCTCTCTATTATTTGCAGAGATAGACCGATCAGCTCCAAAAGTTAATCATCTGAACCTTTAAAAGAATATTCTCAATAAGAGAACACACACACACACAATACCTTACTTCCCGTTACACTGGCACACAGGGTAATAAATCAAATTAATGATTGTTGAATTGAATTTAGCTACTTCAGATTCAAGGTCCTTGTATTGTGCATACTGAATCACTGCCACACTGACATGACTTACAGAAACATCTGAACTGAATAGAGCCATTGTTCATGTTATTATTATTACAACACCTCTCCCAATCATAAAGGTTGTAGTCTAGATTTGATGTAGTCTAGATCAGGTTATACTCAAGATTTTGAATTTAAGTGTGCTGACATCACTGTTACTCATTGCAGCTTTGATCACTGCGAAATAACACAACTGTTGGTGTGTGTCCTTGTACTTATATAGCAAGCAACCTCACAAGGTCACAAACACTAGAAAAACTGTGGGCAGCCTGCAGCACTGTGACATTCTCTCAGTCACAGTGGGCTAGAGCCTTCAGAGAATGGATGCAGGGTTAAAACTTAGATGTCAGAATTACACCTCGCACCGGTGAAGCTCAGTCCTTCTCTAGACCTCTTCAAGATGCAAACATTGTAGTATGAATTGAGATTGATTTCCCTGAAGCACAAAACACAGTCGATGTTGTCCTTCTCATGCAGGTTGGTTCTGCTGAATTATAACACTGGCATTGTTCATTTCCTGCGTCCCCGGCCTCTGCTCAGGCTCCATTGCTGCTGACAGGGCTCAATTGAGAGGGAGAACCTGGGAAAGTTTGTTTGTCCGTGTGTGTTTGTGTAAGAGAGAACTCATCTTGCAGCATCTTTCTGTTAATGCATAGTATTAGTTGCAGTAAGTGATGATGGGGGAATAAAAGAAAACTATACAAGTTCTGGGTTGAATTGAGAATATTCTGTTTGTAGCTGTTCACTTTGGACTGAATGCTCTTTGCAATTTTCTTCTATAACTCACAACCATGGCTCATTTTTTACACATTACAAATTGTTACTCACATACAAAAATCCATGTACAATCAATTCA